CGGAAATCCAATAAGAAAAGTGGCTGGCCCAGTCTAAGGGATAAGCTTGAAGGAGGTCCAATTTGTTAAAAAGCTCACACAGGCCTACTCGGGACAGTCTCAGTGGTCACATTTCAATCTGTTTAAATAGTTACTCCGGCCCAATTGACATTTAAGGCTTGAGGCCCAAGTTGCAAATATTCTTTTTATCAATGTTTGCGATTTATTCAATTTTTATTTTATTTTGTAAAAATAATTGTCATTTTTATTTAAAAAATTATAATAAATATCAATTATTTTTTTTTTTTTGAACATTTTGACACGGGGCGGGTTCGAAACCCGCCCAGGGAAGGGGGGAATGCACCTAGCAAGTTGGCTAATGCCAGTGGGTCTCTAGGTCCAGATGCAATAAATATCAATTATTAATAATAAAAAAAATTTAATTTTGTATAAACAAAATGTTTAAAAGAATCCAAACCTAAGAATAATACACAAAATTTGTGAGTTTTATAATGAGAAACAATTTTATTTCATTACATCTTTTAACTCACTTCATTTACATAACATATAATTTAAATTTAAAATATCTTATTTTTACAAGATTATCATTAAATTATTTAAATAATTAAAAAAATATAAAAATTAGCTTAAAAGCATTGCATTTCCCTTGCCTTCAACTAAAGAAACAATTGCCCACGAGCTTGCAGCCCCATTGGTGCTGGATTCTACTACCCACATCCCCATCCCCAATTCTCCATCCCCCGAACAATTGTAATTGTTCAAAAAAAAATTTTAAAACTTTCCCGCCTAGAAAAGTGATTCTCTAAGGGATGCGACGAACAAAAAGCCCCCTAACTTCTAATGAAAACTACCTAAATACTTCAGGTTTTCAGCCAATGGAAATGAAAACAGCCCCAAGCTATTTATCTCTCTTTCCAACCTCATCGATTCGGTCAAATATGTCCTATGGATAAATTTACAGGCTTGCATCATTTCCATGCAGTTATATATTAGTTTTTATAATAAATATCAAAATCAAGACGTCTTGAGCACCATAACGTACTGATTTTCCGCATTCTTAATTCTTATCTTCTTCAGTTTTACAAATTCAAATTTTGAATTAGCAATGAATAATCTATAAAGCAACCAAAACTTTTGCGACAACAGCAAACCGGCATGCTAGTCTTCATCAAAGCCTCCATCATACATTTCTCCATCCCCATCACCATAGTCATCTGGTGCCCCTCGGTCAGCATCCGCAGCATTGTTCTCCTGTGCATTATTTTCAATATCATCAGCGCCAATCCCGTCTGGCATTGGTGTATCCCCATCCTTCTCCATCATAGACTCCAAATTTTCATCGCTGAAAAATGAAACAAACGGCCTGGAGACCTGCAAGAGAAACTCTGTTAATTAGGATTTTACGCAGTTATATCTACCGATAAAGGTCAGTTTTAAAATTAGGATTTGAATCACGACTCCTAATTTGTATGGCATAAGAACTTGAGGTGTAAATAAGGACAATGCGTGTTGTGGGTTGTGATATGATTTGAAACTTGAGATACTTGTAATTTTTAAATAGACTGAAAAGCTAATTATACATAATTTGAAAATACTAGATACTAGAAACATATCTAAATGCTAGCCCATCAGTTCATAGATCCTGTACATTGCAAATTTAGGGATCAAAACTTTATCAAGATATTGCAAATATGAACTTTCAAACAACTCATTGCAAGAGAAATACCACCTTAAAGAAACATCCTCGCTCCTCAGCACTTTCTATCAAGTTTTTCCAGTGTTCATCACGCCTCAAAGTTGAGGCTGAACCTAGTACCTATGGGAAAACAATGAAACAAGGTTAAGTGAGTAATCATCAGATGCCAAGCTGAGGCAGTTTAAATTTTAACGTAATGCAATACCAGTACAGAAGACTTCGCTCTGGTGATTCCCACATTCATTCGCCGAAAATCAGACACAAAGCCTATTCCAGTACTTTTGTTTGCCCTAACACAGGAAAATATCACAACATCCTTCTCTCGCCCCTGAAAGTAAAAGAAGAGATTTTATTTTAGAATCAGATTCAGATCTATTATGCTAGATATTAACCAAAGAAATTTAACATCTACCAGTACTGCCATTTAACAATCCTAAAAAGTTTGTTTCACAGAACCAATAGCCTTCTTACAATTTTCCAGATGTTAATTATCAAAATGTCACTTCATAATGCCCTCAAGAACTCAAATATAAATGCACCACAACTATTCTGTAAAGAAGAAAGGAGACACATCACCTGGAAACCATCGACTGTACCAATATCAACAACTTTTTCTGACTCCACCCCAAAAGTATCCTGAAATCGCTCTTGAAAAAGCTTTACTTGATGTCTGTAGGGGCTTATAATTGCTAGCTGAGAGCTTGACTTAACCTCTTGAAACATGGTTATAAATTTATGATACATGACTAAAGCAAACTCAACCTCATCCTCATTTGCCCAAGAACCACTTCCTGATGGCTGTGACTCTTTTCCTTCATGTATATCAAAGAAGCAAAATGGTCCAAAACATCGAAATTTGTGCCAATCACGAGTTGTCTGATCTTGAACATCAGATCCATCCTCTAGCACCTCATTGTAGAACTCCTTTGAAGGAAAGCTTCTAATCTGTTTTTACAAAATAGACATTGATGCTTTACATCTAGTTCACCGAGGCAGACCAATTCATGTTTGGATATCATTATCATTTTGATTGTTATAATAAAATATCAAAACTCATAAGGGTGATAAGAATCTAAATTTTACTTTGATTAGATATTCATATCTAACCTCGGGATGCATTCGATACTGGGTCTTAAGCATAGTAACTGGATAACCAGCCCTTTGAAATCTCTTGAACAAACTTGTTCCATAGCTTCAGGTTTAGAAATGCAACAGTGAGCACAAAAAGTAGATTCACATCAGCAAAGTTACAATGTTGTTATCACAAGATCATATGTGTTACCCGAATTTCTCAGCAATGGGAGAAATTACAGTAGCAGGCAGTTGAACTGGATCGCCAATCTAGAGAAAAAGATGAAAAGATAATGAGCTGTTTGTCATGAACATTTCTCCAATAAATGCAATGGTAGATAGTGAATATGCAATGATTTGTGCACATGCTACATGCCCCCATGCAATTTGGATTACTATCTAACATCCCATGAATATATGACAAGTTAATGAAAATTTAAACCGTGCCATTTCGGGATTCTAAGATATGTATCTTTTTATACAATTTTGTTGCAAGACTAAAAATCAGTTGGAAATAGACAACCAGCAGTCATCCTAACAATCTCATTATCACGGAATTCATAAATGATGTCTCCATACAATTAACATATGGACATATATAGAGAAATACAAAGAATGGTATGTAACAATTTTAACATAAGATGGATGACTATATAGAGAATTGTGAGAACTAAAAGAAATAGCATCAGAAGTATACCAAAAACACTTGTTTGCATCCACTTGCTAGAGGAACTAGAGTTGCAGGTTCCACCTGTTTGAGTAAAACATAAGAAGCATCAGTTAAACAAGATGGAATAAAATACAAAGGTGTCTTAAGTCTCTAGTGGATGCATTTAGAAGGATGTTTACTAGATGGTAAAAACAATGTCACCATCTTGTTTTTTATTTTCTAACTAAAGGACTGTAGACTTCAAAAGAAAATAATCTTATAAAATTTAAACATATTATGGCCATTACATTTCTGCCAACCATGGTCACAATACAAATACAATCACAATTTTTAGCTGTGCTAGAAACTTACAGCTTGGGCAGCTTCATCTATTATAACAATATCAAAGCCAGAATTAATTTTAGTGAGAACGGCTGAACCACTAAAGCTGAGGGTGGAGAAGACCTGCCAATTATACAAAGTTTAGAACAAAAATAGCAATATTCTGAAGTTTGATGACAACAAAAGACTGGGTTCACGTACAATCACAGCTTCATCCAAGATTGTGGCACGAACACTATCCACATCCCTTCCCGTGGCTCCTTGTTTCTGTTTATCACCAGCGAAGTCTCGCTTCTGATTAACCTGTGAATGAGAAAATTCTCTTTTCATTGTTTGCTAACAAATAAATGAGCCACAATATAAGAGTTGGCCCTCCCTACCCCTCAACCCCCATTGGCTGCTGACAATAATTTGTCTAGCTGTACACGCTTTCTTTTTTATCAAGTCAAAAATTTTTAGATACTTGAAGTGGCTTCAAAATTGTAGGTTTTGTTTCTTGAGCAAAGTGATACTTCCAGCCTCCTGGGCTGTAGAGAATGTACTTATAATGCTAAAAGAGTTGAGAACTACACACATACAAGGTAATCCAACGAGACAGTCTCAACCGAATGGTGTGGTTTAAGACCAATGCGCACAACTTTTGGAGTATATGAACGAACATTTTCATCGCGAACACCTACAGATGGCAGAAAAAGAGGAAAAGAAACAGAATATGCTGTAAGCAAAACAGAAAGTGACGTAGGCAAAATTTACCTTGCTTATTAATGAATTTAGAACCTTAAAGCCTATAATGTTACTGGAGCAACATTAAGTGAGCTCCATTCACTTGAGGAATGAAGTCAAACCAAACAACATAAATGTTTACTAATGCAAGAAAAAGTCATACCAGTTTTTAGAAGGCGAAATACAATCTCATCAAGAGCAGAGTTTGATGGGGCACATACCAGCACCCGTACACGATATTTTCGACTTGAATTAACAACTTCTGGTTTCTGCAAGTGATTGAAGTTAAAAATTATAATAGAGGAGGAGACTACCAGAATCTACTGTCAGGACTCAAGCATACCAACTCATTTCCAGAGGTAGGAAAGAAACCATCATCACCATCCATAGGCATAATAATGTCTCTGGGATTAGCACCAAATAGCCACGGAGAAGCCTGTTCCCAATGCTTATATCTGTAGAATAAAAAATACTGCATTAAGTTCACAAGCATAACACCAAACAGTCAGCACCCAATACCGCAGTCTTGGGCCTGGAAGAGAAAAGGAACAGTTCAAGCATTGAACTTCTTGAAAACAGGCAATAAATGCATTGAGAATATGACATATCCGGATTTATGGCTTCAGGAAAAAAAAGTATAATATATATATACATACGTACTGTGATATATATATATATATCACAGCTTTTTCCTTAATGGGCCATACAAAATCATAGATAACCAGGCTTTTAGATATACCATCTTAAGAAAAAATGTGTGTTAATTTTGAAATCTACAAGAGCATGCAAAATTATCACAAAATCTATAAGATTATGCAGACATTTTTTTTGCTTCATAAATTCATGGATGTGCATTTGATTGATTCTTAATGAGCATATATTCCCTTGAAGAGCATGCCTCCCCTATCTGTAAGGCTCAGGCACCCTATTGACAGAATCCCCCATGCAAACAATCCCCTTACAGATTTTTAAATCCATGTTAAGAAATGCTGGGGATATCTATTTGTAGAATTCAGAGTTGGTCTTTCTCCAGTGCCATCATCTATCTTTCCAATTAATGGGATGACAATTTTCCTATGCAAGTTAAATACTTTAGAGATAGAATCAACACAACAGAATTCCTGTAAGATTTAATGTCTTAAGAAGAAAAAGACATGTATGGTAAAAACACAGCTTCAGGATTATTTAGAAGAAAGCAAGCATAATTCAAGACTTCAGAAATCATTGTCAGTGGTATTTAACAAATATATAACACAAGATTTCAGTAATCCTTGCTACTGGTATTCAACAAATATATAACACAAGATGGTAGTATTAAACAAATCTAACCCACAGGCCTGAACATACTTTTCTTGAAGGGGTCGTTCTGGCCCACGGTGTATTTCCCCCAATCCAGCCCTGCAAAGAGTTAAACAGATTAGCATGGAATAACAAAAATAAGTTTTGTTTTAGAGAGGGAAAACCATATCCTTCTGAGCTTCTCCAAACTTTGAAAAACACTGGGGATCTATCATGTTCATACTTGGAGTGTATTCTTGCTGGAGTTGCATGCAAAATGGCACTAAGAAGTCCAAGGATTGTCTGTGTTTTTCCTGTTCCTGGGGGGCCCTAGAAAAAGCACATTGTCAGAATCTGCAGATGTAAGTACAGAAGTCCTAAACTCCTAATCCAGACAAAATATAAGTAACTAACAAAGATTGAAACTAACTGCTTCCACGAAACAGTAGTTCTAAATCAGTCCGTCAAATAGATTCAAGGAAGTTGTGATTAGAACATCAATTTCCTTAAGAGCCAACTGAGAGGAAAAAGAACAATTCATATGAGTCCTTTGCAGCAGCTTTAGAATATTTTGCTGATAAGCTTGACTTAGATGCATACCAAATGTCATTAATATTAACTCAAATAACTGAAATAACCAGCTGAGGCCATATTTTAATGTGAAGGCAACATGAAGTGAAAGGATGAAGAAGTTCTATTGAGACCAATTGTTTCCAACTTTCTCTAGATGCAGTGACTTATCCATTAGTTTTGAAAATTTTATGGTGTGTAGACAATTTTAATTGCAAAGACTAATGAATATAATTTGTGAAGTGGAATAAGATAAGACACTATTGATATTGCATAAAGATGCAGGTTGAAATGCATGTATAGAAAAAAAAAAAAAAAAAAAAAAAAAAAAAAAAAAGGAGAAGGCTTTGTTTCAAACCTGTATCAGAATAAAAGTTTTACGAGATAGACCAGCCTGCAACAGAGCAAGAAGGAAGATCATTATTTGGTTAATTTTCTAATAAATACATAGACAACATCTGAAGAAATAGTTGCTCATAGCAAAATCGCATAAACTAACCAACAATAAAAAATAAGATGAATTAGACCTAACAAGGCCTGATTATTAGAAGGCTCACATCAATAGCTTCCTTTTGAGACTTGTTAAGATTCTCATCAAGATAATCATGCAAGGATCCAGAAATTTTCCAGGCTTGATAATTAGAGCCAGTATTTTTTTCAGAAGCCATTAATATTAAATCCTTGAAAGGAAGAGAGCCAATTGAACGCAAAGCTATGTACTCACGGACAATGGTTGATAAACTGCAAATCTGCAAAACTCAATGAACCCAATGCATTTAGTAAGCAATGCCCAAGATCAAATTTGATGATGAACCAAATCTTAAATGGATAAGGAGTCCAATTACCTTTAAACTGTACAATCTTCTTTCTAGTGAAGGGGCAGTGGAAGTAAAAATAGCTGGCATACTTGCCAATCTCTCAGAATATTTTTCAACATCAGGATAGATTTGCACGAACTCTCCTCCTAAGTACGTTCTGAGCTTAAGGAGATGTTTTTCTCTATGCTCCACCAATGCAAATGCATATGTTGCTGGGAGTTTTTTGCTTCCCTCTTTAATCTGCAAGACACAAAGCAACAGTCAGGAACTAAGATTGCCTCAAGTTTCCAACAACCCCATCAGCAACTATGATGAAAGAAGACTACATAAACATTTCAAACCTAATGGCAAATACTCCGATTAAAAAGATATATATATATATATATATATATCTCCTAGAAAACATTCACAACCATGTCTTCGATATTATTATACTCAACTTTTGGATTTCTCATAAGTCATTAACCTAATAAGCAATATGCAATGGTTACAAAACATATGTTGCAGGATAGAGGGAAAAAAAAAAAAAAAAATCAGGACATAGCCAGTTGACTCTGTTACCTCCTCTTTTGAAAGCAGCAGGAGATCATTCTGTGATACTGATTCCTCTCCGCCTGCTTCATACGTAACAAATGGACAGTGAAATCCATCTTCCTCGCTGCATTTCATAACCAGCCTTAGCTTCCACTCCGGAGCTGAAAGGCCCAATACAAACACAAACGTGAGAGGAAGATTCATTTTTCAGGTTCACCTTCCATACCTTAAATGCATAACGCGCACACACACACACAAAAGGTTCCCAAAATTTCCTACGAATCTAAAACTGTTTATCGATAAAGGAATGGCACAGCAAAACCTAATAACACAAAATCTAAACTGTTTAGCAACAATTTCGATTCCACAAATTTTCAGAGAAAGAAAACTCATACGCTCTTCTTCATCTTTCCTTTGAACGATCTGCGCTTTAACTTCCTCGAGCAAAAGTGGCTCAAATGTACCTAAATAATCATCAACATCCTTGTACGTATCCTTCACTTCCTTCAAGTCCGATTCTGCATTTTTGGCGTTCTTCTGCTTCCAAAAATCGCAGAAAAAATAATAAAGAACATCAAAACACCGTTCTTCGCACAGAGGAATGACAAAGGAAGCAGAAGGAGAGATTTAGATGAAGACATACACTACAATGTTTGAGGAGGCGGAAATAGTCCCAGCCGAGTATGATTTTGCAGAAGCGTTTGTAAGCTTCCTCCTGATGCTTGCCTTTGTCCACCGCCATGGCCACTCCTTTCTCTCTCTGGTTCTGGTTCAGAGAGTCTGAAGCCTTCCGCTCCGGCGGCAGAACTGAGACTGAGAGACGCGCGGGTGAAACGCAGAAGACCGAGGGAGGTTTTACGGTGAATTAAAAAAAGGCTGCGTACTCTTATGGATGGGTCATGGGTTTTCCCAAAGCCCATCTCCCCTTCAGTCCGCAGACCGACAAGGCGACCAGATGCCAAGGCCCAAGAGTTGAGGAAAGTCATGGATTGATATTTCTGTTGTGGGCTAAGATTAGGACGGATCCAATCCAAGGTTCAAAATGTATTTTTCAAAAAAATTTTGGCCACTAAAAACAACCCTGTAATTTGTAGAACATTTATATTAACCTATAATAAATTATGTTTCTACACATCCTAACTACATGTTTAAGGATAAAAAAAGAGTTATAAATTAATAAAATTAGTTAAATCAAACACACTTTAAAAATTATTTGTGATTTTTTATTTTTATTTTTATTTTTTATAAATTTTATGGCAATTAAACATTAAAACTAAAAATAAAAAATTACTCATAACAATTTATTTTAGACAAATTATAAAACTAACAACTAAAAGTATAAACTTATTTAATAAAAAAAATATAAAAAATAAAAATAATAAAATCTAAATTACAATAATATAAACAATTAATGTAAAGAAATAATAATAAAATTAGAGTAATAAAATAATAATTTTTTCTCTTAAAATATAAAAAATTATTATTATTTTAAGATAAATTTTAAATTAAAAAATAATATATAAATATTTATTATTTAAATTTTTAAAAAATATATAACAGTGTTATAAATTTTTTAAAAATATATAACAGTGTTATAAATTTTTTAAAAATATATAACAGTGTTATAAATTTTTTTCTTATAATACTTTAATATTGTAATACAAAACAATTTAAAGATATTTTCTTACTAATAATTGTATACATCAATAAATGGATAAATAATACTACAAACACTTAACACCTTCCAAAAATGAGCATATCTTATTTTCACTTATTTTTGTTCTTTTAGTGGCAGAGTATGAAATAAGAAATAATTGTTCATTTTCTTAACGAGCAATGATACAAATGAATAAAGGGAACAAATTCATGAGACGAATGATATGGTAAGCCACGTTATTAATATATTAATTTTAAAAACTTAAATCAAGTTATTTTTATTAGTTTATCTTTATTCCCCTTTTTGTTCTTTTCCCTTTCAAAATCCCCTATCTTTCTCTGTCATCTCCCCTCTTTTGCCAAGCTCCTCCTCTAGTGGACTTCGCCAGACTCAAGGACTAGGCTTGCCCCTATCCTGCGAATCGAAATCCTATAGCCATGGTATTAAAATTTCAAAAAAAAAAAAAAAAAAAAAAGGAAGAACAAGAAAAACTAAACCCTAATTGTTTGGTAAAATTGAACCCTAAATGGTAAAAACTCTAAATTTATAGTTAGTCTTTGTAGGGGAGATGAGAAAAATAGAGACAAAGGATGAAGATTTAGAAGAGAGAATTAAGATTTGGATGAACCCAGAACAAGGAAAAAATTGTAAAAATATGAAGAGAATGCAGAAAAGAGGTGACACATGTAAACCCTATTTTATTAATATATTACTGAAATGGCAAGTTATCTTATATTTGTCTTGTGAAATCGTCTCTTTTATTCTATTTTTTTTATCATTATTCTTTATTTATTAATCTTAAGATTCAAACTTAATAAATTTATTGTAGATTTAAGTTCCTAATCATCAAAGATTAATGGATACTTAGTTGTAAAGTTAATGTGGTTAATGAAAATAGATAGAGATAACTAAATTACGTAAAAATTTATTCAAATTATGTTAAGAATATGTAGGCAAATTTTTCCTCCAAATAATTGTAATAAATCAAGCCCCCCAAAAAAGTGGAGTTGTGCCAGATACATATTATCCAAAAAAAAAAAAAAAACTTTACAAATTGTGTAATTCACTCAAAAATTTAAATAACATAACAGTAAGTGTGTAAAACATATAAAATTTGAAATTTAATTCGCGAGTCGGTGATAAAAGATAAATAAAAAAAAAAGAGTTAACATTCTCGAAGCAACTGGATGACTTTTCATTGTCTCAAAAAAGGAAAAAAAAAAAAAAGGGCAAATGGATAACACTAAAAAAAACACAATAATCACGTTTCTCCTTAACCATATTCCTTCGTCCTGCAGCTTCCCTTCTTCCCTTTAAAATTGTTTCCGGGAACTCAAACTGAAACTCATTATCGTACTTGAAAAACATATAAAAATCCACCGTGTCATAATCTGTTCTGATAAATTTATCCAAACAGGGAAGAAGAAAAGAAAGAAGAAGGAAGAATTTTGAGAAGGAAATCTCTGTAATTTTCGGGGTGTCATGGCCATGGCGTCGTCGAAGGTTATAACCAACAATTCACAGACGAATTCCGATCTGCCGCGTCAGCCATCTCTTTACCCTTCCCTTTCCACTCTTCTCTCCGATCTTCAAAACCAACAACCGCAGCAGCTTCAGCAGAATCAATCCATGAACATGGACGATCTGCTCAACAACATTTACTCGTCTCCACCAACCCCGCCAACTAACACTGAAGCCAACGCGCAGTTTTCTGGCGCGTCTATCTCACGCGAGGACTTGGAGAGCAAATCCTTTGACGATGTTTGGAAGGGGATCGTGGCGGGTTGCGGCGATCAAAGGCAGGGTGGAGCGCCGGAGAAGGTTACGTTGGAGGAGTTTCTGATTGGCAAGACTGGGGCGGTGGGGGATGGAGAAGTGGGAGTGGTGGTTAATCAGGTAGGTGGGGGGTCCGTGGGGGCTGTGGGGACGGGGGTTTATGCTCCTGTGGAGCCGGCGGCGATCAACGGTGGCCAATTTTCCGGCTTTCCGAGTAATAGTGGAGCTGATCGTTCAAGATTGGTGGGACCAAGTGGAGGCGGGAGAGGGAAACGACGTGCCGTGGAGGAGCCGCCGGTGGATAAGGCCACGCAGCAGAAGCAGAAGAGGATGATCAAGAACAGAGAATCTGCTGCTCGGTCAAGAGAACGCAAGCATGTAAGTTTTCTTCTTGGATTGCCGAGAAAATGGGATAAAGATCGTTAGAGAGCTGTGTTAAATTCATAAAATTTGGATTTGAATTTTGTTCTATTATAACAAGCAAAGATCTTTTATATATGTGTATATGTTCTTCTTCTCAGTTTTACCGCACTTTGTTTGGTTGATGAGAAAGTAAAAGAAAATGAATATAAGAAAAGGTGGCCCCTCCAATCTTAGTTTCCTGAATGATTCTGCCGCTAATTCAAATTTCTTTAGCTTTTTCTTTGCACATTTTGAATTCATTGTTAGCTAGTCCCCTTTTGTATTTGATGATCATAAGTTACTCCCCATGATATGTAGGCTCATACAGTCGTATTGGAAACACGCCTATCTCAGCTAGAAGAGGAAAATGCAAGGCTCTTGAGAGAAGAGGTATATTTCCCTTGTTTGTTCAAGGCTTTAGTGTTTGCCTGTAGTTTCCATTTTGTTAAAGCTTGTACATGCCATGATTGATATTACGGTTTGAACTTTGAGGAGTTACAATCCATGCTGAAACCTTTCCATTTTGGCTGGATTGAAGAAGATGCCTGAAATGTGATACGCTGACTTGATTCCTTCCTTAGATTTACTGTTATAAAAATCAAGGTAGGTGGAATTGAAAATAAGGGGGAAATCTCAGGCAGATGAGCTGCCTGAAGATATAGACACATATTCTACTCTTATTGTTTAATGGTTGCCCTTGATGGACATATCTGTATAAAATTGACACATTACCAACTGGATGTGTTGATTATTTAAAACTTTTCCTTTATTTCCTCTACAAGAAGTTTATGATCCTTTCGTTTGCTTTATTTGCAAGGTAAAGTTATTGATGATTGTATAATAAGAAAGTGAAATAGTTGTTATGTCCTTCTTTTCTATATGCCCATATACTTGTTTCTGCAAGGAACTTGATTTTTCACTTTTATTTTCCTTCCTTTTTTTTGTTGTTTGTGTGTTTTATATACCATAATTTTATTTTCGTATAAGTTCCTAACACATTCAAATTCTCTGCTTGCAGGCTGAATATAACAAAGAAAGGCTCAAACAGGTTTGTCTCTTTTTCTTTTGTATCTGAGATATGAGATTCCCCATATCTTGGCATTAACTACATTTGAAAATAATGGTTTCTAATAGAAAACTGAAAACGTATGTCATCATGCATATTATATAATTTATGGAAGAATCTGGATATATGATGAAGTGATTAGTGTAGCCATGAATTGGTAAGAGGCATCTGAGAATGTAAGTTCATTGATCTCCATCATTCTGTAGTAAGGTGGTTGTTTAGGTGTCCCTTCGGGATAATAGCCTAATGTACTGCCATGACAGAACGCATTGCAATAATATAAAATCTGAAAAAATTCAGTATTCAAAAATCACAATTTTGTTTTCCTTAAAGCATTCAATATTCAGTACATTGTGTCTGTTGCAAATCTGACTGCCTTTCATGGTTGATCACAATGCAGCTAATGAAGAACCTTATACCAGTGGAGCAGAAGCCAAGACGACCTCATGCGCTTCTTGAAAGGGTGAATTCCGTGTAGTGGTAAAATGATTTCTTTTTGTGGCCCGTTGTTGAAACCACATCTCTGCAACGAACAATTTAGCTGGAAGACCAGGAAAAATGAAATCTCAGGCTTCATATTCACCCCGAGTGGGTTATCTTTTAGGAGCAGATGAATTTTCATTTGTAGAGAGAAGCCTGAGTACAGTTTTGGGTTATGAAGGATCTCCCTCCCAATTTAAGATGGCTGTCAAATTCCTGAAAATATCCATGTATTACTTAGAGCAGGTATAATGGACGAGAAAAATGATCTAGTATAGAAATTTTTTACTCGTGGATTCCAGTAACATGGGAAAGTGAAGGTGTGTTATGTTTGGACTGGACACGTCTATACTAATTTTCAGATTGAAATATTCATGTTGACAATATATGATGTTTTTGTGAATACTTCTCAATCTGTTATCCTCTTGAATGCTCCGGACCACGCTTGCAATGGCTACCACACGGTCTACCATTACAACGACTTTCTTTCATTTTCTTGCTGAAGTGAGGTGGTATCCGTCCCCTGATGACCCCCAAGAAAGGCAAGACATGTAAATCAACCGATATCAAACGATGCTCATATCTATTAATTGCGAAGAAAATGACAGGTTTGAGTTAACGATGATGTGAGTCCTACCTCTGCTATTTGGGTAGTATCAGAGATACAACAACAACAAAGACATCATCGTAGAATTAACAATTTGCCACCCAAATGATGATCCTAAATGAGAAGTGAAAATGAAAAAGAAGAGAAAAATGAAGATTGTCATTCATCTTCTTATGCATTCTTGCTTCTATTCACAAGCCAATTTGGTGTCAAAGCTACTCAGACAGATTGCAAATGCCTGAAATGCAGATAGAGGATATCGGTAATCCATGGTGAACATATCTTTGCCAACCTTGCCAAACTGCAGGATTATCTTATCATAATCAGCTGGGGCTGGCTGTGATGGAGTGGGTGCACTGACAGCTGGCTGGGTGGCTGCAATCAACTGAAAGTTTTTAACTGATGCAACAGTTACCCGCCCACGGAAATTCAGGCACCAACACTGTAATTGTTCGTGCCATCTTGGAGGCTTGTTTTTTAGGATCAAGGGCTTAGCTTTTCCATCATCTTCATCCTCACCATGAGATGTACCAATTTCTGAAAATCGAGAGCTACTGAACTCAACAGACTGGTCGAGAGACTTTGAAAAGGATATGCTTCGGAATGAGTCCTCCAAAGGATGGCGAAGAAGCTCAGGTTGGCCGGGGACGGTGCCACCAGCATCCAGTGCTGAGGCTGGGATAGAATGCATGATGCAATGCATCCTTCGTGGGCCTCTGGTGCCAAGAACATTGAGTTCATAAGTAATCTGGGCTATGTTATAGCTACCAGTAGGGACTTTTGGGGAGACTTTTTTAGAATAAAATCTCTTGCTTGTTTGTCCTGGAGGGGGAATATCAGAAGAGGTGTATGGTGGCTGCGTGTCATATATTATGAATTTGGTGCCAAGAAAGTTTGATCTGAAAACAAGAGTAAAATCCTCCAAGTTAGTTATTGAAGAACTAGATTCAAGGTCATAATTCATAAACACGAAATCTTCAATAACATTATGAAGAATCCATTCCAACCCTTACTAAGATTAAAGAAAACACCATACTGGCAAAGATGATACCAAACCAAAAAGAATGACAAGGAAGATTACATAATTTTTCAAGTCTATCCTGTCATAGATCTACCTTATATTATATTATTTTATGTAGTTAATTTTCTTTGGTTCATGATGCAGGTTTGTAGAACTTTGGGGGGCATCAAAGCACAGAAGCCTCATTTCAATCGCCAGCAATAACCTCCAACAAGAAAGGAACAATTTTGTGCTTCAAAATTGGAAGCTTCTTGAAAGAGGGCATTATTTGTCCACTATGGTTAAAGAAAAAAGATCCTCTAGAAGAGTAGATCTTGACCCTGATTTGCTCCAAATAAGACCAAGAATAATGGTCTTCTTCAGCAAATCTATAATATAGGTATCCAAAGGGAGCTTCATTCCACATTCTTACCTCAGCTTACCAATGTATGTGCTGCTTGATCTTGAAATGTTGTCAGCATGCATAGAGATGATATACTCTGTTGAAGTAGTTCTTCTTGTCCTTTTTGCAGAAAGAAGGAATTTCCCATTTTCAACTAGCAATCCTGAAGAAAGAAATAAGAAGGTGACACATACCGAGGATAAAATCTTCAACATCTACAGTCGGTCATATCTAGTAAACCTCAGATCTATTTCACAGAAAGTAGACAAGAATTACTAAATTAAAATATGTATGCAACTTGCAACCATGGAAATCATACATTGGTGATATCTTATAATCCTCAATGCCATAGCACTATAAAACATTAACTTGACCTCTACTGATGATAGACCAACAGTAAATTCCAAGATCATGTGAAACTTGCTGACAAGTTTGCTATTCAGTCTACCTATGACACAAATGCCTTAACACAGTGAACCACATAACATTCATGATTTTTTCCTTCGATAGCAGACTAAAATCTTCCATGTATGTAAAGCCAAGACCTAGGAAGTGCAGTACTTTGCATCAAACTAGATCCAGGCAGGCATAAAAACATTCTTGTATTTCAGTGGTTTTTCGAGACTAAATAACTAAACCACTAATCATCAATAAATATACTAAATTTACATGCAATAGAAATAATTGATAAGGAAAATATAAGACTTCAACTTATATAAAATAATGGCAGCTAAGTGGTTGGAAGGGATGATGGAGTGATGCTCACCAGGGCAAAGACACAGAAAGAGGTGATAAGTTAATTTAGATTTATCCCTTTTGATGAAACACTGAATACTTCCATCACGTGGCCCGGGCTGAAAAGTTTTAACATGAGTCAGTAAGTGAAGCCCCCAACATAATGGCTTGCATCCACAGCTTTGAGCATAATCCACAAGCTAGAGAAAATCCTACCTGCTTTAGAGACACTGGGAAAGTAAGCTTTCCACAGAACTCAGGGCTCTTAACAATTTCTTTGCAGATAGCTCTCCAAGATCGGCAAACAGCAGCACATGCAACAACATGCCTCCGCGCAGGCCAAGTACTCTCACTTTCTTCCAACCTTCTGATTACATCACAAAGTAATTCGGGAGGAAGGTTGGCCCAGTGACTGTTCTGAATGAAAACAGGCTCATCGTGCAAATCCTGTAAAGAACCCTGAGATTTTCCTCTGTGATGGCCAATCAACCTGACATCAAAACTCCGCCTAGACAAGCTCCCAAAACTATCCCTCACATCACGAATGATGCTGCGGAATGACATTTTTCAAGCAGATAGCTGCAAAACTTATGTATGTCTCTCCTTGAACACTTTCTGATAGATTCTACACCCTGATCATGCGCATATGGCTGCCCAAAAACCAAAAAGACTCATTTTCCACACCTAAAGAGAAAATGGTAGGAGAGAACGAGAAGCAAGTAGAAAAAGACAGCTTCATGAATCACATGGACGGCAAAGTAGTATGTATGGTATCATCCTTTTTTAGGTGCTTACCTCAATTTAAAAGCAAACTTTGTTATAACCAAATACAATATCCAAAGAATCTAGCCACAATTTTTTGAGTTATGAAAGAAACTATGTAGTCATGGATGACGTTATGTTTCATGTTTCCCCTTCTAAGAAAAAGGAAATCAGCACGAAACTACTGCTTGGATAATACTCGAAATGATATCATTATTCAATATTTAGGTCAGAATTAGAAAGCAAAAAAATACATCTTGAAACAAAAATTCTTAATTAGCTACTTGAAAGTCACAAATTCTCATCTAAATAGGAAAAAAGAAGACAATTCAAGCTTTGTAACACAAGTCAATGTGCATATAAAGAGAAAATGAGGAAGAAACAAGAACTGCTTCTACCATATTTCTTAGATTTTCCCATTTTATTTCCTAAAAGTTTAGCATTTTCTCCATAAATGCTATGAACTAGCACAAAATTATAAAATTAAAACACCCAAATGCATATCCATCTACCATAAAAGAAGCATGAGAAGACGTACCTGCAATTAAAAGCTGATCAAACCTTCATGCCATACTTCAGGAGCCAAAACCCACCAAAGATCTGGAAAGAAAGATGAAAAATTTGGAACAACCCCCCGCCCAAAACCACTGGAAAACAACAAGGAGAAGGAAAATGAAACTGGGTTTCCTTAGGGGACAAATTTCATAAGGAAAGACCAAAACTTCAGTGAAATCTTGAGGAAAGAGAAATGGGAAAGTGAAACGAGATCTATCTCAGGCACCTGAAACATGTAATAATGAAATCAAAGACAGTCTAAAACAAACTCAGACAGGTTTTGTAATAATAAAAAAATTCAGAGCAGAAAATAAAGAAAAGGAAGGATCAAGACAGGGAAAACACTGTTGGGTTTCTCTTTTTTTCAGTCTCCTGAGGATTCTCTCTATCCGGACGCCATACCGGCATTAAATTCAGTTCACGGGACACCCAGAAAAAGCCACTGCTAGTATACAAATTTTCCTTTTTCTTTGTTTATGTACAGTGATTGTTCCTTTTCTGTGCCTTCTTAAATTTGTTTTTTGCTTTTTCCCTTATGAATAAGATGAGATGAAATGATATTTTATCGGGAAGGGAGCCACCGGTGCGCGACCAAAGCCTGGTTCCTAGCGACGACCGGATGGCCAGTTTGACTTTCCCTCGTTTTGTTCCTCTTTCTTTTCATGCACATGAGCAATTTGCCCACTTCCATCGTCATTTTCAGATGTAAGACTTCCTAACTCTACAACTTAAAATATGGAATATCAAGTTTTGATTAGTTGGAATATTTTCTTTTATTTTCTTACGAGTGTCTTAACTAAGATAATTTATTTAAGAGGTCTTTTTCAGCTCATGCATACACATTTTTTATTTCTTAATAATGAAGTCACATTGAACAAGTTGTGCATACCCATTTACTTGGTTTATTAAGGGATGATTAAGTATCTTAACTTGTAAGAGTTTAAGAATGTGATTTAGAAGTTTCAAATTTGAACACTAAGGAATGAAAAGAATCTGAAAAATAGGAAATGTATTTTTTATTTTAAAGTCCAATTTCATAATATGAAAAAAAAATGTTTAAAAGAAATACCATCATAAAATTGGTTAGAATAAAAGTTGATATTAATTTTATTAATTGTTTAATTAAAAATATTTAAATAATATGAGTGTTAAAATTAATACCAATTTTTTATTTTTTATGTAAATTAATACATAAAAAATGCTATTGAAACACCTTTTATACGTGCTCTTAATGCATAAATTAGACAGATCTATGAAAGAATATTACTTTCTTCATTCAATTTTAATAAATGTAATTTTGAATTTAAAATATCTAAAAATTTAGTTGTGCACTTTTATTTTTAAAATGTCAGTGCTTATTCTTATTTTATCATTATTTTAAAAAAATAATTACAATATATAAAATAAAAAAGCTTATTTAAGTAATATCACTTAATTAAAAATAAATATAAAATTAATTTACATATCTATTTTATTAGACAAACAACCTAAATTTACTAAAGTTGAACATAGAAATTAATAAATTTGAGTTTTCCACAAATGTTATTGATACTACTAGTTTTTTTTTGGGGGGGGGGGTAAATTATCCTAACAACTTGGATTTAAATTTAGTTTAATAATACTAATTTATTGTTATAGTTGTAGATTTTTTAATCTTTTATATAAAATATATTTTATATTTATTTTAATTAATATTTTATATACTTTTAAAATAATAAAAAAATTAAAAATTAAAAATTAAAATACTAAAAAATATTGTCAAACAAAATCTTAGATCTCGACATATGAGATTTCTCAATTTATATATATTATAATTTTATAATCAATAGAAATTGATTAATTCTAGTGAAGTAAAAAAAAAAAAAAGAAGATACTGATAAGATAAACTTGAGCTCAGCAATATTTATTTTAAATAAAACACCTCCAATATCTATCTGGAATTATTCAACTTACACGTTAGAAACGAAATGATTCTGACATATGTTGATGTCCAAGTGTTATCCATATTTTTTTAATGTGTGCTAGTAGTGGTACAATTTTTAATTCTAAATCCAAAGTTGATAATAACCAATATAACTTTTTGAATTTTGAGCATTTCGCTGACTTTGGGGCTTGGAGGGGCGTTCCCCTAATCCGAATCTTATGAGCTGAATAAAACCCTTCTCTCGAAATTTTCAACAAAGCAAACACAAAATGAGAGTAGTGTTTTATGGTGTGAAGAAAATGGAGAGAGGCAATCATTTACTCTCAGGAGTTTCTCTGGTGTGAATAAAATGGAGAGAGGCAATCATTTACTCTTAGGAGTCTCTCGTTATTTGAATTTTTTACACAAAATTATATTCTTTAGTCTTTCTTTTAGTATTTATGACTAGAGAATTTTTAGATTAATTTTTATATATTTTAAAATTAATTTTTTAAATAATTTTAAGAGTTTTTTATTTTGTATTTTTTAAGTATATATTAAGAATATATTTATTATATATTTTTATTATTAATATATTCAAAAAAATAAAAATTGACATTAATGTTATTAATTGTTTAATTAAAAATATCAACATAAGGAGTGTTAAAATTAAACCCTAATCATAAAAGGGGTTTTTTAATCGGTACCCTAAGAGCCTTAAAAAAATAAATATTGATATTTAATTTAATATTCCTCCAATTAAATTTACCCGAATAGTAATAACTCTGAAATTAATATTAGCTTTTATATTTTTCTATACATATTTAAAAAAAAAAAAAAAAAAACCAAACTTAACCTATGCCCTTAGGCACAAGTATATTTTTCTATACATTAACTTGGTGTATTTAAAGAAAATAATTTTTATAAGTGCTAATTATAAAATTTAAATATAAATATAACCTACAATACTTATTATTAATAAATATAATTTTTCAAGATTATTTATACTCTTGGGTGTTGTTTACATGTCTATATAACTAATTAGTTATGAAAAACTAGGGATACGCAATATGTAGGGGTGGCAATTTTCCCCCGTCCTCGCAAGGCCTCGCGAGAATCCTTGCCCTGAGAGGAATATTCCTCCCCACAGGAGGGGGACGAGGATGAGGGACATTTTCTTCTTGCGAAATTTCACGGGGAATTTTTCTCGCCTCGTGGGACCCCACGAGGATCCCCGTCCCCATAAAAAAATTTTTTAATTTACTCTTCAAATTTAAACCCAAATCCAAACCAATTAAAATTAAACTTATCCAATACTATTCATCCCAACCCAACCCAACCCAACTCAACTTATTTCCCTAAATTTAACCCTAACCCTAATTCATTTCTCTATTCTAATCACTCTCACTCTCACCTTCTCAAATCTTAGTTTCTGCCTTTGGTCTATTGCTCATGAATTTGCTCTGATGCTGCTCACGAATCTGCTCTTCATGAACCCTTCTGCTCACTACTGCTCATGAATCTGCTTTGCTTTGTTGTTGCTCACGAATCTACTCTGCTCTACTGCTGCTCACGAGTCCTTCTGCTCTACTGTTGCTCACTATGCTAACTGTTGCTCACGAACCCTTTTGCTCTATTGCTACCGAAAGCCATCTGCTCTATAAAAGATAGATTACAATTTGATATTTGGCAGGGAACGGGGATGAGGGGTAAAATTTGCCCTGTCAAAAATCCCCACGGAGATCCCTGTCCTTGTGAATTGCGAAGACGAGGATGGGGAGGGGGTCCTCGGCCCCGCGGGGCTCCATTGCCATCTCTAGCAATATGCTTAGTATGAGGATGGAAGGGAAAAGTGAATGGAAGTGAAGGCTGTGTCAATTATTGTTAACTATTTATAGTTCCATTCCCCTAATTTCTCCTCTCCTCACTTAGATGAATAAAAAGAAGTTCAAAAAAAAAGAAAAAAGATTTCAGCTCTCTAACTTCTTTAGTAATATAAATTTTCACTCATCTCTCTTTCCTATCTCCTCCTCTCTAACATTAGGCATTGTAGTTCAATTATTGAGTAGACTCAATACCTTAATGATGATCAAAATTCAATATATCATAATGTCATGCTACTCTCCCCCTCCTTACCCCTAAATTGTACATGTTTGAAAAAAAAATCTCCTCTTTGCTGAAATAAAATGGACGGTTTTTTTTTTTTTGTTTTTTTTTTCTGACAGTGAAAATTACATTATTCTAGTTAGTATTTGTTCTTAAGGAAATAAAGAAGTATCAAATATGAGACTCGAACTGCACATCTCCCCAGGGATGGTCCCACTTTGCTTCTCACGAGAAGTGTGGCCACGGGGCAAGATAGTCGTGAGCAAATAAAATGGATGGTTAATGCAACATACCATTTGTCATTTGCTGATGGGTGTCTTTGTCCTGTTTTTCAACGTGCCACTTTTATCTTATGTCAATCGCCATCAACGTTGAGTGATCCGACGGTCCTAATTTATTTACCGACTTTTGATTGGTTGTCGGGCGTTCTCTTCATCCATTCATCTCTGCGTTCCCTAATTTTAGTGATGGTGGAATTTAGGTAAAATCTATAGATCATTAACAATTGGCTAATGAGGCATTTGATGCAGTGAGAAGGATTTTGTTTATTATTCACTCATATTTTATACTATTTAAATTTAAAATTTTTTACTTTCAATATTGTTAAAGTATGTTGTTAAAGTATGTTGTTTGCGATACAATGAAATGTTTTGTCTCACAATATTTACGGATGATTTTCCACGCTGTACGGATTTTAGTTTAGGTAGGTATAAAAGGGTTTTTTTCTATGTTATTCCAACTCCCTCTATGCTTACAACTAATTTTGTATGTAATTTGTTAACGTTGTAAGAGTTTGAACGTTTAACTTCAATCCAAAATAAGCTCTAAGTTAATATCAATTGGGCCAAAATCTTGAAGGTGGATAAACAGTAAAGGCTGTAAGGAGACTGATAATCTGATATTCCGTTTCCATCTAAAGCTTCCACTCGGCCCAATTCTCTTCTGTTCACAATGCAAAGCCTAAAACAACTGACTGTAATGAGCCCATTACGCACATCAGGGCCGAGATTGTGTGATGAGCGCATAGCTCCTACTAGGCCGGAACATCGGGTTCGGATAAATTTGATATTTATAGATACTTGATTTATTTAAATAGATATTTTATCTGTATTTGTGGAAAGATAATTAAATTTAAGTATGAAAAATGTCTATATGTTAAGTATTCGTAAATATTAGGTATGAGGGGTTAATACCTGCGTACCTAATCTATAAACTTAACCTATATACCTGAAATGTATATCCGATCCATATACTTGATCTATATTCTAGTTTTATATGTTTAATTTATAATTTAATATTATATTATGAAATTAAAATATATATTTTTTTTCTTTTTTTTAACAGTGAAGATTTAACTGAATAAAAATCATGTAGAAATTTGTTTGTATTTCTTTTGTTATTGT